GCATAGACAGAAGATCAACAAAAACCATTCATTCCACAATGCCTAATGAAGGCTAACACTTTGCATGGAAATTTTAAAAACAAAAATTAAGAAACATAAAAATATAACAGTAAACAATTAAAAATGAAACTAATACTTTTTCAGTGTAACTCTTCAAGAACTCCATACTTTTTATCTGAAAAAATTCAGATTCACTTTTAATAAGTAAAATGTTCCCAAGTAAAAACACATAAAAACCACTAAAAAAGTGATTAATTTTTCAGTTGAAAAACCTGAAAATAACAGCCAAAGTATCAATACAATATATATCAAGTTAAAAACACTAAACTCAAAATTTTTATCACTTATGAATTAACATTTATCTACGAAGACACTGAGTCATGTTAAAAAGACAAGCCCTGTGAAGCAAAGTATGCAGCATTCCAAAGGTAAATCTTGAAATAAGCAGCCGCATACAACATTGTTTATAAACACCGTGTTCTTCCAACACTCCTATGTTTAACACCGAAGGGTACACAAAGTAAGCAAAGACTCAGAACAACACAACAAACAAAAAAGCATCATAAGCCAAATGTGTGCTGACCAGGGCTGGGCCGGGTAGTTCATATAGAAATTATTCTATGAAATCACACTAGGTTGGCCTCAAGCCTCTAATTCATCAAAACCTTTAAATATAACAAATAAGAAAAAAAACTTATTTCCTAAATAATTAGCTGGGTTTTTACTTATAATCATTGTGTTCAAAATAAGGGTATTTTTTATTTTATATGGTTATATGGTTGAGAGGTCCAAAATTTGAAATTTAATTCCTGGGGCAACATGACTGTTGTCCTGGGTACAAGTTTAGACAAAGAAGCGGGCAAGTTGAGACAGACCCACCCTGCTGCAGAAAAGTAACCAGGCTTGTGCTTGAGAGATACCGTTGCCTGGCAACGCACCCAGATGGCCCGTAGTCCCCCACCCAGATGGCCCCTTGATGGTGACCAAGGTCACTTAGCCCTGCTTCTAAGAAAGATCACAAGATGTGCTTGCTAACCAGCACCCCCCTCCCTAACAGGACATTCCAAGCATTGTTTACAATCAAATATCTTCCAGGAGGCCAAGCCAGAATCATTATGGCCTTGGTGCTTAAAATAGACCAAGGCTTCGAAATTCCCTGCTTGTGGTTTTGCCTTTAAAAACACTGTTCCCCTAAACCCCCCACAACATTCCTCTCCTGCTTCAACAGGAAGGTTGTGACCTGAGCTTGAGCTTGTATAAAATACACCCTAAGTGTATGCAGTGGAGTTGATTCCTGGTGTCCTTGGGGGTCTCACAAACTGAGCGTAACATGGTAAGAATATTTGCTGTTTATGTACACAGATCAAAATAGAGAAATGTGCAAGACAAGGTAAAGAAGTAATAACCCAAGCACACACCTTTAACCCAGCACAATTACACAGGAGTATAACAAGATTGAGATCAATTTACACTGCCCCAATAGACCTGTTAGAACATAAAGAAGAAAGGGAAGAGGGGGAAAAGGAAGGAAAGGAGGAAGGGCAGACTCGTTATTAAAACATAAACCTAAGCTATATGCTGGCAATCTTGTTTAAAAAAAAAAAAATCAGCAGACAGTTTCTGACTGTTCTCATGTTAAATCCTGAAATCAAACTGAAAAGTTCAATCCTTAGCCAAGTATGGCAGGATGTGTCTATAATCCCTGCACTCTGGAGGCTAAGGCAGAACTTCCAAAAGTACATTACCTTGCGATACATTATGAGTTCCAGGTCAGGCCAGCTTGGGCTAGAATAAGACATCTTTTAGACAGAAAAAGGAAGGAAGAATAGAAGGAAGCAAGCAAGCCAAGAAAGGAAGAAAGCAGGCTTGACAGATGGCTCAGAGGTTAAGAACACTGGTTGTTCTTCCAAAACCATCTAAAGTGAGATCAGGTGCCCTCTTCTGGAGTGCAGGCACATAGGTAAGCAGAATGATATATAAATAATAAATAAATAAATCGAAGAAGAAAGTGATGATAATTATGATGGCAATGATATGCTTTTGGGCTGGAGAGATGGCTCAGTGGTTAAGAGCACTGCCTGCTCTTCCAAAGAAGCCAGGTCCAATTCCTAGTACCCACATGGCAGCTCACAACCGCCTGTAACACCAATTCCAAGGGATCTGACGCCTTCACACTAATGCACATAAAATAAAATTAAATAAATTTTAAAAAGAAAGGAAGGAAGGAAGCAAGGAAAGAAGGAAGAGAAGGCAACATTGTGTTTTACAACAGTGGCACACTCTGTCCACGGAAGATAATTTCATTCCACACAGCATCAACGCTCCGGCTCTCTACACTTGGACGTGTGTTCAGTCACAATCATACCCAGCAAATCACTCATGTTGATTTTTCTAGTCAATCACCTTGGAAGATTCCATAACTATATTCTGCCCCACAACCCACTTGATCTACTGGTTTTACCCGTATTAGCTACTAGTATCAGGCTCAGTAGTAACTGGACATGAAGAAAAAATGCTGTAACATCCAAGGAGAATATAACTTCTTTGAAAAGGGAACAACACACCCTAAACATCATTCCTCCAGAAAAAAAAAAGAAAGAAAGAAAAAAAGAAAAAGAAAAGAAAAATGTAAAATGCCATACAAGTCTGAAAAATAAAGGTTAGCAGACAATACTGGTGCAACTGTCTGCTCAGAATCACAAAAAGCCAAAGATGTGACACATGAATGTTAAAAACTGATGCTTAATCAACTGAACCCCCTCTTTTTTTTCTTTATTACTAAGAACACTGAAAATCAGGCAAGCAGTGGTGGTGCACTCCTTGAATCCTAGTAGTACTTGGGACAGAGAGATGGCTCGGGGGTTAAGAGCACTGTCTGCTCTTCCAGAGGACATGGGGTCAATTCCCTGCACGCACACGGCAGCTCCCAGCTACCTGTAACACCATTCTGACTCCTCCTCTGAGCTCACAGCTGCCAGGCCTGCACACAGTGCATAGACTACATGAAGGCAAAACACTATAAACACAAAATAATAAATGTTTCCAAAGATAATATACAAATCATAGTGCTGTAACAACATTAACTTCCTGTTTTGATCATCATATGGTAGTTATACAACTAGGAGAACTATCACTGCTTTTAAGAAGTTCACACTTAAGTACTAAAGCACTCAGGATCAATGCTAACACTGGTTATTAGAAAATGAAAATTGAAACTAAGTGAGACACCACTAAACTCCTATGAAGACTGACTGAAAGTGTTGAGATATGAAGCAACTGAAACTCTAAAATATTTATCAAGGGAATAGAAAATGGTAGAACAGCTTATAAAAGCCTCTAGATTGTTCTCCAGAGGGAAGTACATACTTAGCACATCAAGAAAAATGAATACATAATCACACAATACTGACTGCACATATTCATACCAGATTTGTCAAACACTGAAGGCAATTCAAATGGGTAAACAATGGTACATCCATATAATGAAATACAGTACTACCCATGAATAAAAAGGAATATACCATCAGGACATGTAACAATAAAGATGATTTCCAAAAGCATTATGCTAAGTTTAAAAAAAGGTAATCTCGAAGGTTACCTAGTACATTGCTTTGCATATCCATTCTGTGAAAGTGAACTAGGAGAATGAGAACATGTCAGTGGATGCCAGCAGTGGTGTTAGGGATGAAAAATTAAAACTAGCACAAAGCCTGGTATGGAAGGCACATGTCTGTAATCCTAGCCCTCGAGAGGCAGAAACAGAAAGACCACTGCCAGATCAAGGCCAAATCATGAACTACACAGGGAGACCCTGTGACATAACAAAACCAAACAAACAAAAACCAAACAGGAAGACAGAATCTGTTGGTGATGGAATGATTCTGTAGCTTCGAAGCTGACTATCAAAAGTCTTAGAAACCAGGGCTTAGAAGAGGGTTCAGCAGCTAAAAGTGCTTGCTACACAAACATCATGCCCTGAGTTCAAATTCCTAGCACCTACATGAAACCCCAGGCATGGCCACACACCTATAACCTCAGGGGAACATATGGTGGCAGAGACAGAGTGACTAGGGTTCAGTAAGATAAATCTGTGTCAAAGGAAATCCGTTCATAGTGACAGACCAGGACACCCAATGTCTTTCTTACGTTGGTTTTTACATACATGTGAGTGCACATGCATGCATGCACGCACACGCGCACACACATGCAACCCTTAAAACTGAATTTTACTATATGTAAAATTTTTAAAGATTTTTATATTCACAAAGAGAAAGTACTTCCACAGATATTTTATTATCATGTGAATGACAAAATCTCGATAAAATACTCTCATTTTATAAATGAAGCAACAAACATACAGTAAATGAGTATATACAAATTATATGTGGTATGACCAAAACTAGAGTCTAGATATACTAATCCTACTTCAAAGGTATCTTCTGAGTTTCTCTGGCAATTTCTCCTCATATCTCTGGCAATCTTATGGTAAAAATATGTTCCTAAAAACCCAACAAAATCAAACAGAAGAAAGGAATAAAAAGAAAAAAGCTGTTGTTATTGGAAGTATATAACTCAGGATTTGGCTGTGATCCTTAAGAAAATAAAAGTTCCTCACTGAAGAAGTCTGACTCATGATCCATAGGCAACAAGTGATTATTTCTTTCATAGAACCTTAATCTTTTCATATGAAGAAAAAGCAAACAGGTTTTAGCAGATAAACTTGAACGACTGCTCCAACCAAACACCATTGGTCTTCAGCACTGTCATGGTTAACTGGGCAGCTTCAATTCAAAATGGATTTCTCAGCTTTAAACATTTTCAAGTCCCAAATATTACCACCACCCAAGGGTAGAAAAACAAGAGAAAAATCTTTAAAAATAGCCTTTCAGTTTCAAAATCAAAGGAAGCACGTAAAATATTTGCCCAAGAACATCCTCTAACAGTTTCCCTAACAAAAACATTTTTAAAAGTACATCTGTACCAAAAATAGCATACGTCACCTAAAAACAATGGTGTGGTTTCTTCTAAAGTGGTTGCATTAGGATCTGCTCCAGCTTCCAAAAGAATCTGTGTGATCTTCCAGTGTCCTTGACTCACACCAAGATGTAATGCACAGAAGCCCTCAAAAGTCTTTGCCTTAATGTAATTTTCAGATGAATCTATGGGAGAAGGGAAACCTGTTAGCCAAAGGATTATCAGTCCTACTTCGTGAGCATTAAAACAAACAACCAACCAACACCAAAAAACATAAGACTGTATGAGGAACTGAATAAAACCAGTGAGTCAAAGAACAGCACGACAAGAAAGGCCTCCAATGCCACAGCAACTGCTCACGCACTGTCGCCACTCTCAGGGCACTGTGACCTGGGAGAATGGGGCCGAGAAATGAGGCAGCTGAGGTCTTATGCAACAGCCACCTTTATTCAGGGCAGCAGATAATACTCTGAGGGCTAAGAGGAATCATCCGAGGACAGCGTACACTCAGGAGGGGCAAGCTACACATGGCAAAAACACGTGTTCCATAGGAGCAAGAGCCACTTGGAATGAATAATCTGGAGTAAACCCACTCCTATCTGCTACACCTGGGAGGAGCACGAAAACACATTCCAAGAATAATTCCATATTCTAAAAAAACTTAAATCACAGGACTCATTTTGTTTTCTTAAGAGTTTTCTCACAAGCACTCAATTCTCATACAATTCCTTTCTTGAACCATGGTCCAACAACCAACCCACTTCAGGTTTTCCTACTCTTAACTTCTAAAGCAGAAAAGGGGAGTGACAGGAGTAAAAAGGCAAGATTTGAGGCAGATGCAGTGTCAAAGATTTTCTTAAGCATGACTTATTGCAATATCAATAAACCTGATTTTACTTCCAAATTTCAATGAGGAAAATCTCTAGCATTATTTTCTTATATTCAACTTTTTAAATACTTCTTTTCGGTTTTTTGTTTTAATTTATTTTTTAATATAACCTTTTTTTTTTTTAAGTTTTATTAACCATTTATACAGCATGCTGCCCACATTTGCCTCCACGCCAGAAGAGGGCACCAAATCTCATAGATAACCATCTGTTAGCCACCATGTGGTCGCTGGGAATTGAACTCAGGACCCTTGGAAGAACAGCCAGTGCTCTTAACCTCTGAGCCATCTCTCCAGCCCATAACTTTTTATTTATTACAATTTATTCACTTTGTATCCCAGCTGTATCCCTACCCTTGACCCCTCCCAATACAGCCCTTCGTCCCTCCCTCATCTCCTCCTATGTCCCTTTCCCAGTCCACTGACAGGGGACATCCTCCTCCCTTCCATCTGACCCTAGCCTATCAGGTCTCATCAGGACTGCCTTTCATAGTCTTCCTCTGTGCTCATCTGTGAGGAAAGGGGAGCCAATGCAAACATGTGAACACTGTTCAGAGGACAGAGGACAACCTCAAGCTTGTCCTCACACACACTATCTTCTCTGACAAAGGGAGCTCACAATTAGGCTAGACAGGCTACTCAGGAACCCAAGGGACCCTCCCTGGAGATCTACCATGCTCAACATTTTACTCGGGTGCTGAACTCAAACTCAGGTCCTCATGCTTATAAGGCAAGTACTTTCTAGTCCTTAAATAGTGCTTTTCTAATGTAAGACCATAGTTTAGTAGTTAATGAAGACTGCACTTATAAAAGAAAAAACACCGCAAAGAAACAGTTACATACAATTCACAAGGAACTAAGGAGCTAATTTAAGATGAAAATTCTGATAAAAAGCTGAAGGTTCTGGCAGCATGAAAATTATGTAAATATGTATATAGTAAAATATTTTTAAATGCACAGCAATAACATTAAGTGGTTCTTCTTACCTCTGCTTTTACATACAAAATAATTCTAAGCTCAGAAGAGTTTAAGGTAAAGGGGGAGGGCATTTTTGAAAGTAAGAATAAGCAAAACAAACAAAAGACTTCTGAGAACATTTTCTTAAATTAACAGAAGTGAAACTAACTCTCAAAGAAACCGAAAACTAGTCATCTGTTTTAAGTAATTCTTGTAATTGTAACTCACTGATGGAATAGGCAGTCTTAGCCTGAACATCCAAAACACAGCTTGTAAGAATTCACAAAAGTAGCCTCACACTTCACAGGATACTCACCAAGTACCTTATCACAGAAGCAGTGTTCCAGAGGTGATCAGAAGTATATCCTTAATCAGGTCAGTTTATTGAAAGATTAATCAGTATTTTAGTATTAAACTTATAGCTTATAGATACAAATGACATAAAAAAAAAAACTAGAAACGCACAGAAACACTACACAATTGATAATGGTGGAGAGATCCTCAATTCAAAATTTCAGTATTGCACAGATAACAACTCTTCCCCCAAATAAACAGAAAATTTAAAATAATTTCAATTTACAAAATGCTTCTGGAAGCCAGGCTCAATGGCACACACCTGTAATCCCAGCATTTGGGGAGGCAGAAGCAGAGGTGGATCTCTATGAGTTCAAGGCAAGCCAAGGCTACAGAGAGAAACCCTGTCTCAAAAACAAACAGAAATCAAAATGAAAAAAAAAATGCTGCTAGAACTACTTGTCATGTTTTAAACTTGATAAAATGACTCAGGTTGCTGATAATAGGTAATAACAGGTAAAATCAGAAGACATGAAACAAAACAGGACAAATATGAAGGGAACTTAGGGTTACACAATAAAAAAAACATGCCTTAAATTTGGAAAAAGTAAAATAATATGGTACTGATACAAACACAGAGAGGAAAGCACCTACAAGAGAAAGAACTTGCCAAGGGACACAATAAGAGACTCAGACATGACACCTGACAACAGGATACCCAGGCCAAGGCAGCAGCCCTTGGGAAGAAAAACATTTCTTAGAAAGAAGGAAGGATGTTCTCTAATCCTGGAGGAAAGGAAAATTAATTCTTAATCTATACATTTAAATATATTTGCGTTATAATATTCATTTACTTGTTTACATGCACACACACGTATATATTCATGTACCATAGCATGCATGTGAAAATCAAAGAACTTGTAAAAGTCACAGATCAAACAGGTCATCAGACTTGACAACAAGCATCTTTACTCATGAAACCGTATCAAAGGTCTCTTTCTTTTTTTTTTAAATCAACCATGAAGCAGAAGGAAGGGGGAATCCAAAGACAGACTATGACAAAAATAATCTAATTGTACTTCAAAACACGACATAAAGTCTGTAGGGAAGAAGGGATAAAATGATGCCTTACATAATTTTGAAAATAATGGTATGACTACAAACTATACATAACTATACATAACTATACAAACTATACATAACAAACTACACTGCACTGTAGTTGACAATGGTTAGTTTTTTTACAAGACAGAGATGAACAATTCTAAAACTACTTTTATACACAGACTACATCAAACAAAGAATGTACTGCAGATGTTCTGGAAATGGAGGTTTCACATAAGTAACAGGAAAGCCAGAATGAATCTAGAATGTAATTCTAGATTACAGTCCAGATATCAACACATACATACACATACGGGTTATAATCCATAAATTCATTTTCTAGTTCTAGAAGAGCTTAAAAGCAATCACAGGCCAATGGTATTCAGTCCCTCGATCTTGGTTTAAAATATCATTCTCTAACAAAAGAAACAGCTATAAATCGTCTGATCTCCAGGACAGCTACACAGAGAAACCCTGTCTCAAAAAACCAATAAACAAACAAGCAAACAAAACCTTTTGATCTACAGTGCTGCCCTGTCTGCAAGATAGGCTAGGGCAATGGTGGCCTAAAGCTTGTGGATGTAACCAACCAATGTAGCATTTGACTTAAGACCAACTCCACAAGATGGAATCCATACCAACACTGCTTGTTTGACCAAGAACCTGAGACTAGATAGCCTAAGTACCTGGGGTAACATAGTTGGTTAGTTAGATAGATAGATAGATAGATAGATAGATAGATAGATAGATAGATAGATAGATACAGACAGAGAGACATGCATGCATATACATGATTAGACAGACAGACAGATAGATGGCTATATCAATAAAATGATTCAAGGATATTCTGCCATACTCATAAATCAGTGCCTTGTTCATTCATCATTAGAGAAGCTTAATCCTGCAGATAGGAACAGATATGGAGACCCAGAGCCAGACATTACACACAGAGTAAAAGATCTTAGAACAGGCCAGTTGTGGTTGTGGTGGCTGTCCTTAATCTCAGCGTCTAGGAGGCAGAGGCCAGGTGGATCTCTGTGAATTCGAGTCCAGGACATCCAGTGCTCTATTACACAGAAAAGCTCTGTCTGGGACAATAAATAAATAAATAAATAAATAAATAAATAAATAAATGAATGAATGAATGAATGAATGAATGAATGAATGAATGAATGAATGAATAAATAAATAAATAAGTAAATAAATAAATAAATAAATAAATAAATAAATAAGTAAATAAATAAATAAATAAATAAATAAGGGGGTGGTGGTGGGCAGGGAGAGACCTTGCAACACTCAGCCCTAAACAGGGTGTCTCAATTGAATCCTCATCAAGGCTCAGGGAACCTTGTATAAAGGTGGCAAAAGAGTATAAAAGTCAGAGGGGATGAAGTCAACCAAGAAAATAAGATCTCTATTGGCATAAGGAAAGCTCACATGAACTCACAGAGACTGAGGCAGCATGCACAGGACCTGCATGGGTCTGCACCAGGTCCTCTGCATATATATTATGCCTTCCAGTTTAGTGTTTTTATGGGATTCCTGAGCATGAGAATGAGTGGGTCTCTGATTCTTGTGCTAACTCTTGGGCTCTTTTCCTTCTGTTTATTTTGTCCAATTCAAATGTATTAGTTTTTGTTATTATCTTATATTTTATTATTATCCCTTAGAGGCCTGTTTCCCCATGAGAGACAGAAAGAGAATGGATTGTGATGGGTAGATAGGTAGGGGAAACTGGGAGAAGTAAAGGGAGGAGAGAGTATAATGGGAATATATTATATGAGAAAATTGTTATCAAAAACGGTAAAACTTAAGGAAAGACAGACTTTGACTCACAGTTTGAGAGAGTCTAGTCTATCACAAAAAGGAAAGCATGGCTGTAGGACTGTCCTGTGGCAAGAGCAGGAGACGGGTGTTTACATTTCATCAGCAGTAAAGAAACGG